ATTTCTTATAGAAATTTTTTCTCGAATTCATAAAATGTGAGCTTTTATTCCACGCGAAGACTATTGAGATGTTGACCGAAGGCTACAACCATATCATGAATATTGACGCCGACAATGATATGCAACAATTTTGCAACTTTTTCAGCTTTACTCAATCGGGTTCACCCAAAAGGGATGACACAAACCCAACGGCCCAACAGTCCGGTGACACTCACCCCCCTCTTCGGCGATTCAATTCGGCGCCAAATTTCAATTCAAGTACTAATTCAACAAATAATGATTTGTCTTATGATTTAAACAAAGACTCGAAGTCTATTGAATCGATTGCCGAACACTCGGATAGTGATAGCGATTTAGATGTGGAACCAAATTATCCGATAAAATAGTTTATTTATTTCAATTTAATCATTGATTTACATATTTTACACAAAAGAAATATTGCTTTCAAAATTTGATTATTACTAAAACAATTACCAAAAAAGTATAGAATTTAGAAGATAACAAACAACTCATTATTCTTGAGTTTTTCTCCTCTTTTCAGCCAATCTCTTGGATCGCCTCAAACCAGTCGACAGACAGAACTCGGAGTCGGTGTCCGTTTCGCTATCGTTATCGTCCGCGTAAAACCACTTGATTATAGTCCCGTCCCACTAATCCACCAACAAATACATTCACATTATATATCATTTAAAATTCGTTTCAATATATCTTACGCTCGAAGACATGAGTGTCATATCGTACGGATGGAAGGAGACATCTGTTTGTATAAAATGTCATTTTAATCAATAAAACCAATCATTTATTTATCAATTACTAAGTAATTCAACAAACCTCTGACACAGCCTTTATGTCCGCTCAGAGTTTTGACAATTTTTCCCGTCAACACATCGTATATGACTACCTTTCCAGACGAACAGCCCGTATATATATACCGCTGACCAGTACTCCATTCGGGAGAGAAGTGACACCTTTATTGACAAATTAGTATTAATTAACTAACAGTTCTTTAAGTTAGAGAATAAATATCATACCGAATAAGAGTTTGAAGAACAGAATGGCCTAAATATCAAATAAAAATATTAAATAAAATTTGATAAAGTGTTGGGAAATGGTATCAACAAAACAATATATAGTATATTATATACCCATATATGTCATAAGGGAAGTGTCGCCTTCAATCTTCTTTCGGTTCGTCAATACTTTAAATTAGTTGTAATTTAGTTGTTATCATAACATAGACTCAATACTAAATAAGAATAAGTATACATTTTCTGGGGATAGCCTGCCATCGATAGTCCCAATTCTGTTTGGAAACAGCTCTTCGTGTGGCCTCAGAACCAATTTGTGGCGAAAAACATCTCATATCCCAGAGTTTGATTGTCTGATCCTTACTATTGGTAATAAGATGTCGGCCATCATTCTTAGAGTCGATATATGTAATGCCGTCCACGTGTCCCGAAAGGATACC